GAGGCAGATCAGTCGCCGGCTTCTGGACGGCCGCTCACTGGCTTTGCTTTTATTAGATATTCAAGAAGGCACCAAAACCCCCAGATAGTTAGCGGCATTTCTTAGAGTTGAACAGGATCCACAAAAATAAGAATACAGTAAAACCTCGGATTGCAATTGACTTGGTTTGCAAGTGTTCTGCAAGACGAGCAAACATTTCTAATACATTTTAACGTGGTAAACGAGCGATGTCTTGCAATACAAGTAGTTTGTTTCCGGAAAGAATTATGCTCGCAAACCAAGGCATTACTATATCTGATTATATAAATTAAATCTTACCTTTTTAAGGAGCATCTTTGTTTTGATATAGAAAAACATAACAAACAGTTGCTGGATAGACAGAGGTAGTTAAAAGGAGGCGGAGAGACAATAGCTGCACGGAGAAGAGCAGTCTAATGAGCATGTCTGCATTAGTCCCCTCACCTTCCGTAAAACAGGCTTCCGGTTCCAGGGATTCTTCAGGTTCAACTTCAGGTTGTTCTCCCTCAGCGGGAGCTCCTATATCCACAGTGCTGCCTTCAGATGAGCTAGTTGCATTTAGCTTCTGAAAATCAATTTCACAGAAAAGCTTTTAAAATATTTTCTTTATAATATAAAAATTCAAAAGGCGTGACCTCAAGTCTTCTGTATGCATTTCCTTGATCTGTAATTTAAGAATATCTTAAACATAATGCCAGTCCGCTTTAGTAGAGGTGGGGGTCACAAGATTAGATACGGCACCACAGGATGTTTTTTTTCTTTAAAACTCCGGTGCTAAACACTTAAATAATTTTTGATCAAGTCCAGGTACAGAGATTCTGAAATAAAATCCTGCAGAGAGCTTATGTAAGCTGCCAGAGTTGTATGGTTGTCTGTGATCTTGCTTTTGTAAATTAGTTTGCAAATGGTATAGTTCGTTTTATTCTAAAATTGTGACCCAACCAACGAAAGCTGCACAAGTGTATTTTCATGTCAAATGCAGAAAAGATTTGATCAAATGCACATTAACAGCAACAATCTAAATTTATCCACTTTTCATTGACATGAAAACAAATACCACTGGTTGTTATTAAACATATTCTATAGTTTTCTAATTTCAGAAAGAGCAGCACATGGTTAGCTTTATAGCAAGAGCTGATATTTTGCATTCTCTTTGGCCAATGCACGCCTGGGTTTCACTGTGCATTCGGAAACTACTTGTTACTCTGGCACTCTTACCTGTCCTGTTAGTACAGGCAGAAATGAATCTTTGGTTGTTATTTTGTTTTCCTTTAGGATAAATCAAATACCACCAGAGAAAAATATACTAGAAAGAAGTTTTTTTAAACCTTGAAGCAAGAAACTTTAGCCAGGTCAGGCTGTTCCTGGGATCAGCGTAAATGAAGGGATCCCAGCCTTTCACCTGGTCTTAAAANTTATCAGCAACAATGTAATAAACACTTTTGTGTAATTTGTGTACTATTAGATCAAAAGCTCATCAAAAAATATTTATTGAATACCTGCTGTTTTCAAGAAGCTGTATTGGACAAATTATAATACTAGAATGTGTAAAACATAACATGGCTCTAAAAAGAATGTGCATTTTAAGCAGGGAGATTTTGCCCACAGGTTTTATAGTTATAAAAAAGCAACAATTACCACAAAATAAATAAGGTATTGTGAGAGTTCACTGGCAGAGATTAATTTCTGATATTGAGCTTTATGGAGGAAATGGATTTGAGGCTACACTTTGAAGGGTGTGTAAGGGTCAGGTCTAGTACATGGAGTTCTGAAGGAATGGAGATAAATGATACAAGTAAAACTTGGTGACAGGGACATCTGGAAGCTGCATGATGGAGAGAATTAAAAGTCAAGACTAGAAGACTCTGAGAGCCAATCTAAACAAAGGACCTAAATTAGTCAGTTAGAAAACTTAAATTCTATGTGCTGTCTAATGGGGAAAACTCTAAAGGGCTTATTTGGGAGTTATGAAGATGTACCTGGTAAGAACACTGATTCAGAAGTATTTATGCCTATTTAAGGAATTAGATGGTAGAAAAGAAGTTAAGAGTCTGTGAGGTTCAATCAGCTGAACATTAAAGAAAGTGAAACTAAGGGTGATGGTGGTGACAGTGGTCAGGGATCAGAAGATACTGCTGAGTCAGTTGGACCTGACAGCACATATGACATGGGGGCATGAGGTGTGGAAGAGAAAAGAGTCAGGAAATAGGGCTTAAGCCGTGATAGAGGGCTCTTGTGCAAAGAATAGAAAAATGGAAACCTCATCTGGAAGGAGCATAATATTTTACAGTGTAGATATTTATCAGGTGATACTTCATAATGTGATCAACCAGGTCATACCCTTTGTTTCATGAAAACTTAATGAAGTACTATTAAATGTTATTAGTTTCTCAATGAAGAAATACATGGCCTATTTGTTGTTTTTGGAGGGCACGACTTTTTTCACATTTCTGTTTCCCAAAGGATCAAGAAGAATTACCTGCCCTGAAAATATTCACTGTAATGAATTAAATGAAACTGTAGCTTTTCTTAACCCCTAATGAGGATAGGAGATGAAAAAACACTGTTTAACCGAAAAGACCAGTGTTAGTGGGATTAATAAATGCCCAATTTGAGATACTGGCTTACCTCTCAGAGGGAAGGAAGGAGATTGGATAAGGAAGGGGCACTAAAGGGGCCAAATATGTATCTATTTTATTCTTAAATAAAAACTCTAAAGCAAATATGACAAACATATTCAAATTGTTAAAATTGGTTGGTGGGTATCTATGTATCATTCATTATTATTTTCCATAATGTTATGTTGGTAATATTTCATACAAAATGTTTTTTTTTAATTTTATAACAGACAAATGTTGATAGCATAATTATTATTATGCATATATTGTGACTAAAATAGGCAAATTGTCTGAGAAAGAGTAATAACTAATACAATAAAAATCATTTTTGTGATATACCACTTGAATGCTTTGTGCTGTCACAAATTTTTTCATAATCCAGTAACTGAACTGAAATATATGCAGATTTTTTAAGGAAATAGTAAAAAAGTGGCTTCCCTCATAACTTATGCTGAACAAATAGTTCTCCCTGTGAAACTATTTAAAAAGCGACCATTAATATTTAAATATTTATTTTCACCAATGCATTTAAGTCCAAAATCAATAGGTGTATGTAACATAATCTGTAATAATCTTGAAATAGTCTATTGACATCAATTGTGATTTCTAACATTTGCATAATTGCCTTTAAAAAAATAGCTTAAAATTTAAATTAAAATAGCTGTAATGTTCTTAATATAAACATAGGTCACCTTTGAAACATTTTTAGAATTAGTTATAATAAAATAGCATTATTAGTAACAATTTGAGGCAGTCATTATTATTAAAATAGACTTTTACTTAAGCAATTACTATATGGTATTGAATTTGGAGCTAAAATACAGTATGAATTATTAAATAGCTGTTATCTAAAAAAATGAGTTAACAATGAAGTGATTCCCAGGGTTTTAGAGAAAGGTTCTTTTCTACAGTAGTGTTTATATGAGAAATGTAAACAATTTCATATCCTGTGGAATTGCACGGAGTTTTAATGTCCCTTTGTTTCATTAGCAGTGCATTCCCACACTAAATCTGGATTGGGCAGCTGAATAGGACAGACGCAAACCTGACACGAGGAAGCCGGGCAGGTCCTTGGCATTTAGGCTTCCTCTCTTGCTCCTTCGCCTTCACCATGAGAACAAGCCCGGGCCAGTGTGCTAGGATGAGACCAGGGTGCAGTGGAGCTGAGTCAGCACACTGTCTCACCTAGGACCTCAGACTTGGGAGAGAGCCCAAACAAGATCAGCAAAACCAGCTAGCTGGCCATGGACTTGGGAGCAAAAATATATGCGTTTGTTACATGCCAAGGAGTTTTGGTGGTTTGATACACAGCATTAACGCGTAAGAGATAACTGATCTATGCCTCAAATAACATAATGTTAGCTTTCTTCAGAACATCCTCTTCAGATTACTCCAATGGCATGGTGTCCTGTATTATATAACTCATAGGATACATTAGTATTTCATTATCTATTATCTATTACCATCCAGAATTCATAGAAAATTTTTTTGACCTTGACGGATACAAGTAACTGTGACTCGGGGACTGTTAAACAGTAAACAATAAACATTCTTTGACTTTTAGAGTGTTGCACTTTTTAAAGCTTAAAGATAGATAGGTGTGACTTGGCTTTGCTTTTTTTTTTTTAAGATTTTTTTTATTGGGGATTTGGGGGATGGGCACAGNAATTTATATAATGGTTGAAAATACCACAAAGAACTGGCTATTATACAATAACAGTGATGTTAACATTGAATTAAAGATTGTGGAGTCAAGGTATTGCCATGAATAAGACTACTAATTAGTCTATAACTTGGATCTCCAAAAATGGGACCCACTGGTATGAATGAGTGAAAAGATTAGTTGTTGTAAAACCGCTGTGTTCAAAAAGAGAAGTAATTTACTAAGGAATCAGGCACTCCTATGGGCACAACTCTAAGTCATATGCTTTTTTCCAGGATTTGATTGACAATGAGTCCCTGATTATTCAAGCATATCAAACAAAGGAATGATACAGCAGTAAAGGGGGCCAAAGACAAAAAGTAAATAGCACAAGAATCCTAGGAAAGATTTTAAGTAAACCGCCAACGAAAAGGATGTTACATTCTTGCTGCAGTCGTATGTTTCTAATAAACTAAATGAGGCTTAGAGCTCCTTTGTCTACCTAGTTATAATACAAGTTATTCTAACCAAAGGTGGTAAGAAAGGTGAAAACATATATAATTCAATAAGAAGTGTATCTAATTTTGAGAGCCTATACAGATACACTGTTAATTGTTATACCATGGCTGATGTGTATTCATACTAAGACCTGCTCCTTTACATCTGGAATTTACCAATAAATGTATATTTTATTGTAATTTGCCTTTGATTCTTTGGATAAAAATCGATAAAAGAGAGAAAACAATAAATGCTAAATTTTGCTTTTNTTCATAAATAGCAGGATCTTAAATATCTTTCTTGAGATGGCAAAAGTAATCTTTCTGTCATGTTGACCTACCCCTCAGCAGACTACCAGTGCCCCAAAAGCACACATGTTTGGCCCATTTTGTTCTTACAGTAAGGATATTTAGAGCTTTTTTCTCCCTTAATCACTATCCCACTGGAAAACTTGCCCTGGAGAACCTACACATTCTCTAAGGTAAAATCATAAACGGGTTCCTGTTGAACCCATCCCATCATTGCTTACCCAGATCATCCCTACACACCTTTTCCCCCTTCCCACCTCTTAGGTATTGGAATTCAGTATGTACACTCTTTTAGGGAGCAGACAATATTTCCTGAGGGAGGATTAGACGCCTATTCAAAGAAATTGGCAACTGTAATAATGTGAGAGTTGAGAATAAATGAAGTCCATTTAAATTAGTTCCTACTTCGTTTGTGTTTTTCTACACTTATTCCAGCTAAATTTCATAAATACACTGGTAGATAATATACCCGCTCACTTTCCCTCATATAATTCTGTACAAAATAACTTGTAAAATAGGATAC